TTTCAGGACTGAATGGGGATTCCACTGGTCTTTGTACTTCATTGAGGAAGGAAGGAAGGAAGGAAGGAAGGAAGGAAGGAAGGAAGGAAGGAAGGAAGGAAGGATTGTGCTATAATCACCAACCATTTTTATTTCATAAAAACACCAATGTGGCCCAGAGGCATTCATGGAAATAAAAATAACGCCAGACCACGGCGCTCAAGTTTCCTTTCCAGTTCAGCCCAGCTTTCACGTTCTTTGTTTCAAAAGCTATTTGAAAGAGGTGAGTGTGTCTTCATGGGGTACGTTCTTAAACCTTCTGCCATTTGGTGGTAAAGTACATTTTTTAAAAATATAATTTTATGGAAAGTTTTAGACACAAGAGTAAAAATTAATACAAACTAAAATAGAGTAAGAAGGGAAAAAAGGAAAAGGAAGAAATAAAAGAGAAAGCTAAAGTGCAAAAAGAAAAAAAGACAGGAAAAAAGGTAGAAGAAAAACAGAAAAGAAAGAAAAAAGATAAAAAGAAGTGGCTGCGGTTATCATATATAAAAACAAAGTTCCATGACTTTTTTTCAACTGTTTATCCATCAATCCCAAAAGGAAAAGTTCTGATTTCAGTTGTATATTAATCTTTAAAATCCTCTGAATCAGTGTATACATTTGAACCCAAAATATTCTAGTTTTTTGCACATTCATCAAACCTGATAAAATGACCCTTCTTGTAGTTCACCTTTCCAACACAGATTTGAAATACCTTTATACATTATTTTTCTGGTGTTATATACCAACAGTACATCATTTTATAACAGTTCTCTTTAAGAATATAACATAGTGTAAATTTCAATCCTTTCAACCACATATTTTCCCATTGTTCCATTTGGGTATTATAACCAAACCTTTAGCCCACTTTATCATATGTTCTTTCACTTGTTCTTCTTCTGTTTTAAATTTCAATAACAGTTTATACATTTTAGCAATCACGTTCATCATTTGTACACATTCCATTTCACAGTCAGTCTCAGAATATTCGATACCATAACTTCTTTTATCTACTTTGAATCTTTCTGATAACTGTAAATAGGAAAGCTGTTGACAATTACGTCCCTCTACCATAAGTTATTCTCTTGATTTTATTTTGTATTTCCCTTGACAAAATTCTAGTATCTTATGGCATGTTAACCATTTGTATTTGCCTATTATTTCTTGTCCATAAATGCTTCTTGTGCTGAAAGCCACAAAAGTGTTTTCTGATGCAACCTGGATTTGCATCTATTCCATATTCTCAATATGGCACATCTAACATAGTGATTTTTAAAATGTACATTAACTTTAACTTTATCATACCACAAATATCCATCCCACCCAAATCTCAAGTCATGTCCTTCTAACTCTAAAAGCCTTCTATTTCTTGCAACACCCACTCTTTCATCCGAACCAAACAACAAGCTGCAAGATACAATTTTAAATCCAGTAAACCCAACTCTCTTCTTTCCCTTTGCATCTTGTAACACCTTACATTTAACTTGTGGCTTTTCCCTTGCCGTACAAACTTAGATATATCCTTTTGCCACTATTTAAGGGGTGCAGGACAGCACATTTTTGTATGCTAGCTTAATCTCTGGTTTTCCAGAGAAACACAGTAGCAAGAAAAAGGTGGAGGTGAAACCTTTTGACTTGAATGGGCCTTTGCATTGGATGCACAGGTTTTAAAAATGCAAATGATAGTTTTGGCATTGTGGCAAAAAGGAGATTGAAGTCAGCTCTCTCTTCTCCTAGGCCCCTCTTCTGAACAGTTCACCACCTTGGTTCTGGATGGAACAGTTAGACTTTCTAATG